GGATATATGACTAAATAAACCCAAGATTTTGCAGATAGTTTGTAAAAATGACTAGTTTTGAAATTTTTAAATGAATAATTTTATCCATTTGAAGGTTGTATTCTGTTTTTCTGATATATCATCTTTAAGAGAATTAATCATCTTTAATTTACTCTTACATTAAGAGTCCATGTAAAGTAAGAAACTATTCTAAGAATTGAAACACATTTCAATATTTTCCAGGTCCTGTTTAAAAATATTTTTCTCTTAAAACCAATTAGGTGCCTAGATAGGTCCTATGATAATCCTAGGAGTATTTATGACATTCTCTGCCTCTCTACTTTAGTTCTAAATTGTCTATCACCTTGGCTTCAGTCTAAGTTCAAACACCTAAAATAGTTTTTCTACTTTGCAGCCCTAAATATAATTGTTTTACTGTAACTACATATTTTAATTATTTTCTGAATTTTTCTCAGCAATTAAAAACAAATTATGAATACTAACATATTTGAAGAGGAGAAAAGATCTGTTCAAATAAAGCCAAGAAATAATAATAACAAATATTATTTTAGTTTAAATGATCACATTGAATGTCTTGTTGCTGAGAAAAACTTCAATGTAGGCTTATAAGCAAGAAAATAATCCATGGAGTTTGTCCCTTAGAGGGCTAGGCTGCATTCTGGGTTTGCAGAAGACTATCTTCTGAGAGTTTACATTCCAAAGAGTTTATATTGCCAATACACTTTTTTGTTCAAAAGTTTGAATTTCTAAGTTTTTCTGTTAGTCTCTGATGCAATGAATGTTCAGTATTATCAATGTGGACCAACCCATAGGGAAGGTTTTCCTGTAGGTTTCAATTATTGTTGCTTAAAATATAGGATCTTCAGAGACAGCTTATAATGTTACATGGCCATGGGTTATAAACACAGACCATATGACCATTAGACATATGATCATTCTAGAATGTTTGAAACATTCTGAGTATATTTTATTCTGGTCAATCTTCTCAAGTGTCTTAGTGTGGGTGCCATTCTATGCAATATCATTGAGTATTTTATTATTGATGTCACTCACCATATTTAGTAAAATGGGCATTTTCTCTTGATGGAATTTTCACAAGGTCCTGTCTCTTGTCCAGATGGCAGAGCTACAAAACTGATACCTCTCTCTTGCTATTTATGCTTAGTTATAAGATGGGTATTGAACGCCTGTGGTTGGCCAGTTTAGAGATCTTATATTGAACTGTCAGTTGCTGTATGATCGGAAAGCCCACCTTATGTCACCAATTATAGACTGCAGTGTTTGTTGGGACACAGACAGCATCCTAAGTGCCAGAAGTTTCTTGAAGAGGGCAGCAAGGATCTGTTCTCTACATTTTGGGAAACAGTGATCCTGTCAAGATTTGTTCAGTGTCTAGTGTAGCGTGCGAGGAGACCAGTTGTCTTGGAGCTGAGGGGAGTGAGCCGGGACGCATGGGGCCCTCTCTGTGGTTATGTGCCATGCTGAGCACAGTTGCAGGGCTCTTAGAAACCAGCACTGGGGTCTGGCCATCTTTGTGATCCAGAGGTTCATTGTCTTCCTAGCCCCGTTTCCTTTGCTTCTTCCTTCTCTTTTTCTCTCCCCAGAGCTTACCTTTTTCAAGGATTTGGTGTGTCACCAGGCCATGTTTTTCTACTTTTCCACACATATACAGGGGAGGGCAAAAGTAGGTTTGCGATTGTGAGTACATGAAACACAGAGTTTATTCTTTCTTTCCTTGTATTATATTTATTAATTATTTTTATATGAACAACTGTAAACCTACTTATGCTCACCCCATAAATGTAAGGAGTAGTTGTAAAGTTCATTGAACTAATGAACTCCAAGACTGAGAGGCTGGAGGAGAATGAGCTGGCTTAAGCCAAGGAATGTAGGCCAAGTAAAGCTCTCACTAGGGACCCTTTCAAGAATTGGGAACCTCCATGGAAATGAGAGCAAATGCCACAGAAAATGATTTACATATTTAAAAGAAAAGTTTTACATTTTTTATGTTTGACTAAGGGAGTACTGACTTAAATGTGTTACTCATTAAACTGTCCTACAGGGCCAGAGGTAAAATGTGACTTCCATCCCAACTCATTTTCTTTCTTATTGCCCAAGGGAAGGGAAGAGCTTTCCCGCTGCAAAGAGCCAGTAGCTTGGAGAGAACATTTGCAGAAGACAGGAAACTGTAGGACCAGTGACCTCTGATGGCACAATAAAAATGTGGGGATGGTATCGATTCCTGGTGCAGGACCTAAAAGTGGAAGGAGAGGTTGGGGGAGATAGAGAGTGGAGGCTTTGAAAATCTCACAAGAGAACTTTTTGCTAACGCAAGGCCGAGAAGGAATTCTAATAAAATGTGGTGGGTCTTAAACAATTTGGCTCTTTTTGCTGTAGCTTTAAGAAACAATGCTTGATGGAAATGAAACAAAGTTTAACAGAAGCAAGCGCACATGGACAACATATTAAAAAGAAGGGGGAAAAAAGGAAATTGCCCCCTGTTCCTATAGCATTCCCTCTAAACTCTGTGCCTTCCAACCAGTAACATGAATTATGTTACTACTAATGAAGTTGGACTCTATATCCTAATAGAAGGCTTTTTCACAGAGCAAAAATAGGTGAATGTACTTAATAAATTGACTTGGCCATTCCTTTAAGCAAATGTTTGGTCCTTTTGGATCATGTAAGAAGATAATGGAAAGAATACAGACCCAGGCAATTGTGTATAGAGTAGTTTTCTGCTTGGAGGGTGAGTAGGAATAACGCAAAGGGGTTAGAGTAGACATGATATTAGAACAATCAAAATAATCCCAAATAAAAACCCAACTGAGCAATTGAGAACTTTGAGGTTCTGTCAGACTCGGAAACCATTCCTTTTTAAATACCTTATATAAATTACAACATGTCCTTACAATGGGATGCTTTGTAATCTTGCCCAAGGATGAGTTATTTCTCTACTTTTTGACATGGAAAGGTATCCAAACAGATCATTGAGTTAATCCTAGTTTTTAAGCAAACAGTATAAAAGATAAAAGAAACAGAAAGTGCAAATACAGAATTGCTAACAATATTCATGTCAGGGTAAGTACAAACGTTGCAGAAAGATTTTCTGTTTATATAACATCACACACATTCACAGTCTTAAAATACAGGCCTGGGCAAAAGTAGGTTTACAGTTGTTCCTATGGAAAAAGACAGGCAGGTTATGATTGTTATCTTTATTAACTCAAAAGAATGTCATTCACAATTGTAAACCTACTTTTTCCTACCCCTGTACTTTCAAGTTAATGTGTATTTTTATGATGGAAAAATCAATAAAGATCTTTACACTTTGAAAAAGAAATTTAAACAATTTTCAGTGGTGAAAAAATTTAAAAAGCAGCTAAGGAAAGTGTTTTGTTGCAGAGTTTTATTATAAATCAGGCTAAATAGGACTAGAGCAGCTTAGCATCCATTACAAAGCAGAGAGAGAAGTCATTTAATAGAGTCAGCCCATTGGGATAAGACACGTGGAATGGAGCTGTGAATTGTTAGCATGTATTTCCAGGATCTGCTAAGAACTGCCCTCCCCATAATGACATGACTTGAAAACTTGGCTGTGCCTTATTCATCTTCTTATCTCCACCTACAGTGAGTGGTAAAATTTAACTAAGTGATGGTAGACTGAGCTCAGAAGACTGAGTGAGTGGGTCAGTAAGGGAGAAAAGGTGTGAGTGAGCTATGAGCAAATAGCGTTACTTCCAGAGGCCTTAAAACTTAGTCTAGTAAAGTCTCAGAGAGGAAAAACTGAAATACGAAGGTGAAAAATATCCTCTGGCATCCACCCAAGTGGATGACAAAATCTTTTGCCATCCTTCTGATTTTCTTAAACAGACTCATTTACGTTAAGTTTTAGCAGTTATACCTTTTCTTTGGTGCCTCTGTTGCACATTCCACCCCACCTGTCATCACATCCACATGCCTAGGGATGTCCTCTCTGATCCTTCCACCCCTACCTTTGTTTTGTTTACTGTGTCATCACATTGATTCTCACACAGGCTCTGCCCTGCATTCACTTCCTAGATCTTTTCCTTTTTCTTTCTTTTTTTTAATTTTATTTTTGACAGTATTACAGATGTCTCCCATTTTCTCCCTTTTTGCTCCCTCCTTTTCCACTGAAGGCACAGAGTGACATCCTAATTCCGTTTTGAGCTTGCCGTTTCTAGATTCATCTCTCTCAGCGGCACCATAGCATCTCTTCTGGGCTGTGGGCACAATACATAAATGTCCATGAAAACCCAGTGCTGGTAACTCAAAGAGCTAATGGCAGGTGGTCCATGGTTCTGAGCTCTTGGCTCCATGAGTCACAGTAGGAATCTGGTGAATGCTTTGTATCCTCTTCACAGAAAAATGTCCATAGAGGAGAAATTGTGGGGACAGTTCCAGGGAATGCAAAGGCCATCCATTTGTGCCCCCAAAGATTATGCACCCATGGATCTCTTGCTATAGTTTAGGGTAGATAAAAAGAAATGAGTTCACTGGAAACTAAAGTGCAACTAAGTGAAGAAAAGCATATTTCTAGCATTGTCTTCCTGGAGAGAAAGAAGCACAATGAACTGCCAGACTGGTGGTTGTAATTATTAGCATGATCATAGAACCGGAAGGAGCAGTTTGTGCATACAGCAGTTGGTATATAGATATATATATAGAGAGAGATATAGCCAAGCAAACTGTAGACTCTGCTTGGGTGGCTCTACAACATTTGGGGCCAAGTCATTTAGGCTTAGTGGTGTGTGTGTGTGCATGTGTGACTGTGTGTTTTATACAGCTCACAGAACTTAAATTTTTAAATATGTATCTAAAAGAAAAGTATTTCATCTCCAAATTTATCTTTTATATCTGTTACATAAATTTATAGATTTATGTTTCATATAGACAGATATTATTAAATATATTGTTATATCTTTATTTCTTTTGGTATTATGGACACTAACCTTTTAATGTTTCTGGTCCCTTTTCAGGGTGGACAAGCTTCATTTATACCATTTCTGGAAATACATATATTGGTAAGTGATGTGTATGTTGCTTTGGGTTCAATTGCAATATAATTTAAACTACTGAAGGGGAGGAAAGAATAATATGAACCTTTTTATGTAATTGAATACTACAACTCCTCCTGTCCAGCACCAGCTCTCTTTACATCCTAGTACATCCTCGTACACCCAGGGTAGGTCACCTCTCAGTTTCCAGTATGTTCTGAGAGGAAGGAAAATACAAACACCAGTCATGACATCAGCCATTTTACTGTGGACTGTGTGCTGCAGATATAAGGTCCAGGCACAATTATGTGGGTTGACGCTTTGCTAAGATGTTGACATCTCCGTACTGATAAAGGGATGGAGCTCTAACAGGCTCCAAGGGGAGCAGGAATCTATCTCCCATGAGGTGGAAGGAGGTTGTCTCTTTTTCTAAGGGTTGTATATGTGTCGCTTGTTGAGTCTAATCTAGAAGGGATGTTCAAGACTCTCATTTTATAGATGATGAAAGTAAATTTAGTCTAAAGAATGGCATTTAACTTGCCAGGGTTAGGCCCAGGACCAGAACTAAGGGCTCCTCATTCTCACCCCCTACACTCCACCCCATATTCTTTGTACGATGACAATGCAGTGACCATACCATCTAGCTTGTCATCCTAGCTCCTCAGGGCCCACTGACCAACTTTTAACTGCCAGTAGTGTCTGTGTCTCTTGGCCTGAGACTTTCTCTGAAACCTAAGAAAGCTGTTCTGGCCCAGTCAGTGCCAGGGAATTAACACGCCTGGAAGCTACCTCACCCCTCCTGTGGGATAACTCTGAGGCCTGTGTGCGAGGCCTTTTCCTAGAGTTTCCTGTGGGATTATGTTCAAGCGGCCCACAGTGGGTATGTGCTTGCTAACACACCCTTCATTGTCTGCCTTCCCTTTCCTAACTTTCTTGGACTGGTGTTTCCTAGGACCGCCTCCCAAATACACTCCTTATACTCAGATATGCATGTAAAGCTATGCTTCTGGGGAAACCTAAAGTAAGGCAACCAGCCTCCCCTCTCCCCTGCCCCTCACAGACAGTGATGTGTGTGTGGATGGGGGTGGGGCAGGACATCTGACTGCTCCAAGGTGCAGGCCAAGAATCCCATTTCTGAGACCCTCTTGAAGTTGGGTGCTCTCCACTCCACTTCAGCAGGCTGGCCTCCTCAACACTGAACTTTCTGGGGCCCTTAACGTGACCTCTTCCTTGCACAGTGTACTTCTAGCCCCGGACAGATGGCTTCCTCATAACATCTGCTCAGGGCTTAAAGGACACACCCAGAACCATTTGAACCATTTTTTATCTTCTCCAAAAGGGATGTTCAATTGTCTGAAATTATTTTTTTCTGAAAAAATCATAGAAACACAAATCCATGTATTTTGATTTTATACAGTAGAAATGGGCTTAGTCCCTCTTTCACTGAATAGCATGTCAGTTATGGGTCAGAAGCAAAATTCATTTATTTTAGCATTTGAGAAAATGTGAAAAAATTTATAGTAGTATCACAGGCCCATGTGCACACACATTAAAGTATATTAACCATCTGGAAGAGATGAGACATCATTTGTGTTTATGATCTTTTGAAAATCTTGCATACCGTGTAGTTCTTTATAAAAATAGAGAGTACAAACCATTTTTTTTGGAGGTAGGACCTCAGACTTATGATTTCAAGAGAAACAAAATAATCTGCACAAATGGAAAGTAATAAAGCACATGATTCCTAAGGTGCTAAGGATTGCAGAAATGTTTGTGTAGAATGAGAAAAGGCAGGAGCAGCAAACTTTCTGTAAAGGGTTAGATAGCAAATATTTTCATTGTGGGCCATCCAGTTTCAGATGCAATGACACATTCCTGCCTTTGTAGCATAAAAACAGCCACAAGTAATATGGAAACAATTGGGGTGGCTGTTCCAATAAAAGTGTATTTATGGCCACTGCAATGTGAACTTCACATATTTTTTATGTATTATTATTGAACTAAAGGGGGTTGTTTGCCTGCACACATCAAAGCCCAATAAGATATGAACAGGAGTTTGCAGCAAAGAAAGTAAAGGTTTATTTAAGGAAATGGCACCAAGTCCGTAGGCACAGGTGAGCCAGTTCTCTAACACCTGGCTCCCCTGTGGCTTCTGGGGTTCTGTAGGGGGAAAATCATGGGGACTAAATTAGGATCATGGTCTCTACTGATTGGTCAGCACTAGGCTGGGGGGTAGCTGACCAGTGCACCTGATCCAGATCTCAGCCAGGGCTCCCTGTCATCTGGTTTCGCCACTTTCCTGGGCCCAGAGCTGAAACACAGTTGAGGCCTAGGTGTTATCTCTAGTTTGACTGAAACTGTGTCTGGAGTCAACAGACCCGAGGCTTTGTTCCTAAGAGTATTTGATGCTGACCAGGACCTCATTGTCCTGAGGGCTCAATGGTTAAGGGAGTAGACATGCAAGGGAGAAGGAGACAGGTGAGTCAGGGGCTGGATGAGGCCAGTTAGCATTAAAAGGAAAGAAAGGAGAAAAGGTCATATTGAACAAATGAAGTTCCTACACCGTTGCATCATGAAATACTACTCTTGGTATTTTTCAACTAATTAAAAATGTAAAAACCTTTCTTAAACAGTGGGTGGTACAAAAGTGACATTTGATTTTGGATAAAATGTTGGAAGGATAAAGAGGAGAAAAATTAATAAGTAATTCAAAACCTGTTTTAATCAGTAGTTACAGCCTTGTTTTCTGACAAATAGTCCAAGAATTTACAGGTAAAAAGCTCAACAGTTCAAGGGGGAAGAATGAATTATACATCTATTTATTTTTCTGTAGGTGAGGCACATTTTCCTGAGTCATCTCTTCTCACTGGTCTGGTCCCCCCTTGTGACCATGAGCCACAAGTGCAAAACATCTGGCAGGAAATGGGGTCACAGTCTATAGCGTGGGAGTGAACTTGCATCTGTCCAGAGTAAACTGGACCTTGGAGAGAATCCACCTCATAAAACTGGACTCTTGGGACTCTGCTTTAGCCAATGAGTGACTGGCCAGATGGCCTCATCTTTCCTCCTACCCATCCCCTAATAGAGATGTTAATGAGAAAACAAAAGGGCAAGAAGAAATCACCAGAAAAAAAGAAATGATAAAGCAGAAAAGCTATTGAATATGTACTGATTTATAAAATCTATAGAGAGAATCTCAAAAATGCTTTCTGACCTTACTGCCTCAATTTTATCTTGCTTATAAAACCAGGATGGCACCTGCCAGCCACAGATGGTAGAAGCTGATAAGCAAGTGATAATCCTTTTCAAAATGTCAAGCACCTCTGTTTTATTTAAATAGCTATTATACACACACACACAAACACACGTACATACTTCGTGTATTGGACTGGAATAAATAGACAACACTTTGGGCTCAGAAAATAATCTGGGGAGATTCCATAAAATGGAGATTTAGGAGGACTATTAAAAATATTAATTGATGCAGGAAGTGCTTAAAAGATGAACATCAGTAGATTTAGTTTGAGCACAGACAGGTGGAGTTTAGAAAATGCTGGGTATTAACTAGCTGTCTAAGTTAATCTGATATTTTAAACTTCAAGGCAAGTATGGTGAAGCCATGGAATTTCCTTCTAAGGAAATCCTGAAGAAGAGGAGTTAACAGAAATAAAATAAGTTGAGCAGAATTAATACTTTTTTATTTTAAAAAGTATACATTTGAGATGTCTTATGCTCCTCTGTGATCTTCCTAATTTTTGATACATTGCTTGTTTTTTTCAAGTCTTCTAAGTTGATGGTTAAATAGTAGCTTTAAAAATTGTACAGGAGAGAGAGAAATACCTTTGATACAGTCTTCTACTGAGGCAGCAAGTCCTTTGACCAGCCCTCAGCTGAAATCTTTGCAGTATATGATTTTTAAACTCTAAAGAAAATAAAAAGTATACGCTCAGAAAAGCAATATATCCCAAGGGTACTAGCACTGAACCCCTACCTTGTAGCTGTGGTGAAAATGATATTACACATTAACATGGGAATCAGAAGGATAGAAAAGTTTAGATCCTGTATCCCTGAAGCTTGGGATTGTCTATCCACCTGGATGCCAGTCCCCTAGAAGGACCATTATCAACTATACTGTTGGGGCTTAGAAAATATATTTAGAAATCTAAAAATATTTGTCTATGGTTACTGAACTGACATCTAACTGGCTTAATGGGTAGTGAAATGTTTCAAACTTATTTAAATGAGTAATTATTCATGCTTAGTTTGCGCTCGGTTCTTTGCTTCTGGCTCTGGGTAGTGTTAAGAAGTTTGACACGCCTCCTGGATCTCAATAAAGGTGAGGAAACGCACAAGAAGCCCTCCAAATTGACTTCCATGTACCCAAAATGAACTGGACTAGCCTGTGTGCTTCATTCCACGGTGAATACCTTGAGTGGGGTGCCTGAACACCAGGATGATCAACTCCCCTGGCTACCTGCCCCTTGCTACTCCCTCCAGCCAAATCCAAGTGAACTCAGCAGTTATGATTGCTCTCAAATCTGTTTATGCCAGTTGCACCAATAATTGCAATTATGCAGGTTAATTAATGAAGTAGTATGAAAAGAGAGTTCGTTTTTCTAAAACAACTAAGTCAATTGCTTTGCAAACATGAATTATTAAAGAAAAGTCTTGAATTAGTATGGGAGAGATGACATTAATAGGTTGGGGGGGGGCTGTAATAATCTAGAAGAATTTCAGTGGCCCATTATGTGCATGCTTTATAAGGAAAGGCAGTGCTTCAATCCAATCAGCAGACCTGCTTTGGCTTTATTTCTAAAAATTGCCGAATGAAGGCATAGTTACACTTTAATTTAAAATAAAATGTTTAAGACAGTTTGTCTTTCTCAGTTATGATCTTGATTGAATTTGATAAGGCTGCAACCGTATGTATAAAATTGGTGCTGTCAAAATCTATGATGGAAGTACCAGAGTGTGTGGAATAGAGTAAATGGGACAGCAGTTCTTACAAAGAGAAGAAAAAGAAAAAGAAAAGCTGGCATGGGGGGGCAGGAGGGGGAGCTGCACAGCAATTCATCACACACTGTAGATACAGCACTAACTTTAAAATATGTCTTAAAGTATTTTGCCCTTTTATGACTTTTTAGGCAAACAAAAATATTTGTAATTCAATTGTTTTCAGTTAAATTTTCCTTAACTGCACTATTAGATTTAACATTCTTGGCAAAGCTTTTCAATGGAAACTATTTATTATCTGATTTGGCTCTATTTATAATTGAAAGTAGTCAGAAACAATAAACTGTATTTTCTTTGAGACTTATTTCATTCTCAGGAGATAACCAGATATGTTAAATAGCATAGAAATTACATTAAGATAGAATCAGTCTTTGCTTTTTGTGATAAATATTTCATAAAAGAATACAGCAGCTAAGATACACTTAGAATGATTAACCTGGAAACCTGACTCCAGTACTGTCTGTAAGAAAGGTCTCCCTTCGTGGGGAGCATTTCCAATGGACTCTTCAGAATCAACACTGTGCTTCCTCTCCTGGATCAGCAAGGACAGTGAGCAGAAATGGCATTTCATGTAAAGTTAGAATGAAAGCTCTTAGGGAAACATGAACTCTTTGTTTCTAAATAAAGATTTCCTCACAGACCAATGAACACCATAGTCAAGCAAGACCCTGATAGGAGATGCAGAGAAATCCCAGTCCACCATTCTTTTTGAGAGCTGTCTTTTGCCAGCTCACTCCATTAAAATATAGTGAAGGGGCTATAAAATTGTTTGGGTCTATGTATCAGGAACTGTTCTGCATGATAAAATGAGGGGCTAGGAGTAGACCATGTGAGTAATGGGTGTTATGTATTAATTAATTGAAGGTAAAGACATGGTTCATTGCTCCCAGTGAATCTCAGTAAAGCACACTTAATAAAATGCTGCTCCATATCACAGTTAAAAATATTACCCGACTTTAAGTGAGATTATTCTTAGGTTTCCAGAAATCTCTTTTATTGCCAAACCCTTGCATGAGTAGAAAATCAACAGAGTTCTATCATTCACTTCCATGGCATTTGTTGACCTAAATCTTGGATGGCAAAGCAACCTTTAGTGGTGCGCTGGGACTGGCTCCTGCCAGCTTGCAGGAGCTGGTTGTACACCTCTTCCCTGACCTCACATCCGTAGCTTGAAATTGGCCAGAATGGGAGCATTCACACCACGGAAATTTGCACACACTACAAATCAGGTTTGTTCTCCCCCTTGTCTTCAAAAGCTAGTTTTAAACATTAACTAGCACCCCCCCGCCTCTGGGACAGAGGCTCTTAATCATTTTTGTGCCATTGACACTTTGACATTTGCCAAGGCCCCACTTGTGAACAATATATATTTTTTAACTCAGTGAAGTTATTAAAATGTTAAAAGATTCCACATAAAAGTGAGATCATGTGATATTTGTCTTTCGCTGCCTGGCTTATTTCACTCAGCATAATATTCTCCAGGTCCATCCATACTGTCCCAAAGGGTATGAGATCCTTCTTCTTTACAGCTGCGTAGTATTCCGTGGTATGAATGTGCCACAGCTTCTTATCCACTCATCTACAGATGGGCACTTGGGCTGTTTCCAGATCTTAGCTACTGTAAATTGTGTTGCTATGAACATAGGGGTGCATAGATTCTTTCTGATTAGTGTTTCAGGATTCTTAGGATATATTCCTAGAAGTGGGATCACTGGGACATCTGTAATATTTTGAACAATAAAAAAATGTTAAAAGAACAAGTTTGAGATATAGTTATATGTGTGCTTCTCTAATGGCATTTGAAATAACATGATCCAGCAGCCGCTTTACTCTGAATTCTAATTAGTGATTAACATAAACTATATTTTGAGATATCTTTAGCACTGTAATATGATATGAAAACATCTGTGGTTTCTACTGGAGATAAAGTCATTGGTCCAGCTAGTACTACTGTGCTTTGTTGGCTACATTCGTAACTGAAGGAAACGTTACATTTCAGTTAGGGGTTAGTGAAAATAAAGATGTAATTTTTCTCCCATCCAAGTTCATGATTGCTCTGAATTCTATCCACAGACCCCTTGGGAACACATTGACTTTAGGTTAAGAACTCCTGCCCTGTTAGAATCCCATTTCATGTTTGTGAGCATCACAATGAACCTTATTACTTCATATAAGTTATCTGCAAAGTGGAGGACTTCTCTAGAAAAGATAGCTATATTTGGACTCCAAGCAGTATTCACAAAATTCACAAATTATGTTTCTGTTCATATAATAACTCCCCAAGCTGCTGTCTTTACGTCCATAAACACTTCCCTATTGATTATTACTGTCCTGCGGATGTATCCTCCTGCACATCTTTACGGGCTTCCCACCCTGCTTAGAATCTTCTCCCTGTTGTCCACTCACGTGGCTGTTCTGTCGTGCTTTGGCTTCTCCGTTCTCTAGCCTCCTCTTGAAGAACCACTGTTGTAATCTTCAGGTCACTGCATTATTTTGCTCCTAGTGAGAATCATATTAGACTCCTCTCTCTCTCTCACTGTAGCCAAATCCTTTAGATTCTCTCTCAGCTCTACCTCTCAAATCCATCCCCATCTTTATGTGCTGACTCTCTCAGTTCAGACTGTAATTCACTTTCACTTAGACTGTTATAATAAATAGGCTATCCTAACTTCAGTCTTACCCCCTTCAACTTATTCTATGCTCTGCTCCAAGAGTTATTTCTCCAAGATACAGATTTGACCATTTCAAGTCTTAACTCCTCCACAACAAACTCATAGGGTCCCTAGACCTGAATTAAGCCTTACAGTCTCTGTTCTCTCATTGAACTTTGCTTATTTATTGTTGCCTTTAAGACACAATTTCATTTGTATTATTTCATCTGTGAGTCTCAGTATAGAAGGGATAGTAATGTACCCATCCTGACGATCCCCCCTCACAGCTTTTAGCACTGGGCCTCATTCATAGTTCACTAGCTATTCAGCTTCTATTTCAACTGAATTATGCTCTGATTATTTTGTGAATATTATTTAGTTTCTCCCAATGAGATTTTGAATTATTTGTATACAAGAAATATGCTTTGCATTTATGTGTATTTTCTCAGTACTAGCAATTATAGGTGTTCTATAAATACTTGTTGAAATTCATGATGCATTTACTCATTTTCCTAAATATGCTTAATCTTATGAGGTTTATGATTTACTCAAGGAAACAACCCTTCTTAGCATGTAATGTCAAGGGTTTACTTATTAATTGAACTATTAGGTATGATATAAAAGGTATAAATGGAAACACAATGTAAAATTCACCTCCCTGTTCTCTTCTACAATGGAAACCGGCCAGTTTCAGACTTTAGTAATTGTACAACTAATCAACCAAGATATTTAAGAAGATAACTAAGCCTGTTATTTCTGAAGTTAAATGAATATTATGGTGCTATGTACTTAACCAGATTTGTAACCATGTGATAAATGCACTGTGATGAGTATGACATTTAGTGGGTCACCTTTTTTTAGGGCCTGATGACGCACAACAAAAAATTGAACCTCATCACACAGCAGTGCTGGGGGAAGGTGACAGTGTACAGGTGGAGAACAAGGTAAATATTTAAAATCTTTAATTTTTCTTAACTTGTACTTGCTAGTAGTTTCCAGGAAAATGCCTGAATCTCCAGTGTAGCTAGAAAATTTTCTCTTCCATGGGCAAAAATAGTATGCTACACGTTTATCAACCCCTTTCATTAACTTCTGTTGTTTCTGTTGGCTTATTTTAAGGTTTTATCAATACTGATTGCCCATCTCCAGGAATCATCTATGTCCCTATTGTTTATCCCTAGAAAATTGAATCTGGAGACAACACATCTTCCTTGTCTCTTAACTTTCTCTATACAATTCGCTTATTTTATTTTTAGTGTAAGTGAAAATGTATCGCCCTCTAGGCGTATAAACATCAATGTGCACACATACTCACAGAGGGCCCTTTGGAAGTTGTCCCCATTTTGAACTGAGAGGAACATATGATGCATTTCGTATTCCTTTTGTGTTGAAGCCCTTCTTTTTAAGTAAAGTTTCTGATATTTAGGAATATTAGGAGTTTCCCACCTCCCCAGGTTGCCAAGTTTTTTCCCTTGTCTATTTCATTCCCTTGGGTGATTCGCTCACCCACTATCTTGTGAGCCTATGAAGCCAATCTGACTGCTTTGCATCATTCTAATAAAGAGAACTGAAGAGACAGTTTTTCAAAAGATCCTGAAAAGGTGAATTTTGAAAAGTAGGAATAAAAACAATTTCAGTGTGAACGTAACTGGTAGGGAGGCGATCTCACTGACTTCTGGCCCTCTGAACCTGGCATTGAAGAATGCAATGGATTTGAGGAAATATTCTCTCAGTCCACTTTCTGGCAGCTTACCAACTGCTGCCTTAATCATCTGTAACACCGCCATGAACTGTGAAGTAAATAGAAGAAAAACTCATGAGCACCAGATGAAATGCATATCTCAGTGTCTACACTATTATTAGGTTGAACTGTACGAAACTGCCACTTTTGACCTACAAAAATTGCTATTCTATTTATATCAACCCAATGCAGGAAAGAAGCATGGAAGCTATACATAGGCCAGAACCTACTGATAGCAGATTAGTTTGTAGCATTATCTGGTTTAACTCGATAACCTCAATTCTTTCTATACCATAGCAGAGGGCACATTGCAAATGTTAAGGATGTGGAAGCTGAAATGGAACACTAGAAAGAAGTACTGAGGGGAGCCAGAAGGATGGAAGGCAGCCGGGGTACAAAAGAATCGGCAGAAACCATCAGTTTATTGATCAGCAGCGCTCCTGGCTCGGGGGGCATCATTCTGTTATATGCACTTGTGTAATTATTGTTGTGTATACACATAGTCTGAGCCATCAACACATTACAAAGATTTCTATGAAACATTTTATTTTTTAAGAAAATTAACATTTAAATGGGTGTGTGTTGTTTATATTCATGAAAAGTAGGAAGTCCTCCTTAGATTACAACAGAGAAGAGGTGCAAATCTTGGCTTTACCACTTGTTAGCAGTGTGACTTTGGACAAGTTTCTCAACCTCTCTGAGCTTCAGTTTCTTTGTCTGCAAATGAAATAATGACACCGAGTGCGTGGTGTGGTTAGAAAGAATATGTGCGATTACTTATGTCAAGAGTTGACTCCAGATCTAGCACAGGGGTCAATAAGTTATATTCAATAGGCCAAATTCAAACCCATTTTTGTAAATTAAGTGGTATCAGACGGCAGCCACACCCATTCATTGCCATTTGTCTATGGATGCTTTCACAGCACAGTGGTAGAGTTGAATGGTTGCTACAGAGACCAGGTAGCCCACAAAGCCTAAAATATTTACTCTCTGGCTCTTTATGAGGAAAAGATTGCTGATCTTTGGTATAGTACATAGTGGGTACCCAGGAATGGTAGCTGGAAAGTTCACTGATCTAAACACCTAATTTACCCAATAGTCATGCCAGATACATGTTACCTAATGAGGATTCATGCCTTAGGCCCTAAGGTTTAGGACACATAACAGTTTCTACAGCAAGAGAAAGGCCCTAACGGACCTTGATTCACTCAGGCTCCAGGCCAAGGTTATCTTCACTTGGAACTAGACTTAGCCTGAGCATTAGATAAAGAAGGAAGATGTGACTTCCTAGTGCTCCCCCTAATCCCATTTGTACTGACTTACGGTCAAGAATGAGGAGTTGATACACTCCCTGGCTTCCTTCTAGCACTCATAGGGCAGCTTCTCTTTTGTGACCATTACTCTGAAGTCTTCCATGGCAGGTAGCAACTGCAAGGGGCTTGGTTTATGCTAGATACTGTAAGAGTCTTTAAGCCACACCCTTGGACTTCTTAGGGGAAGCCCAAACCCCAACAATGGCTTCAAAATGGCCTTAACTTTTTTAGAGTACCACCTATGAATCAAAGCAGTACAGGGCGCCTTGGCTGTTGAAACAGAGGCTGGACTGGACTGGTCACCCTGGAACAGCCTCTGTTTTAAGAGCTAAGGCTCCCTGTGCTGCTTTGGCTCACAGTTGGTACTCTGCCAGGATGGCTCCATGATCAGGCGCACAGGGCTTTGATATGAAGGCTTGATCTCACCTTCAGCCCCATGTTTATACTAGTATATTGAGAAGGTCTGAAGCCTCATTGATTAGCAAACTTACTTGTTTGTCAAGGTAGACAATCAGTTCCTCATGGCATGCCATAAAAACCATACTTGAGAGAAACGGTACTCTTTAACTGGTACCATTCATGGGAAATTCATTAAATTAATACAGATTAATATTTGAAAGACAAAAATAAAACAAAACACCCTATTAAAGCTAGAGACAACTTTTTTGCTTATTTATGTGTAAAAATTCATAACAAGCCATTAACTTTCATTTATTTTAAAATTTTTAAAATTTATTTTTATTTTATTTT